ACGAAATCGTTGACTTTTTCGTGCTTGATATGTGCTCTAAACCAATATTTTGCTCAAAAATTGCTCTGAAAGGCAAAACTTGCTCGAGGTTGCTAAAACTGCAAAAAGTTGCTCCAAACGCCAAAAGTTGCTCAAAAGTTGCCGAGCACAATCGGGACAGGCCTAGCCTGGACGCCAATTACAGCAAATGTTCATGTTCGTGGGCAATAAGTTTGATATGTTTTGAGACGCGTCTTTTTAGGTCCTGAGTCGGCCGATCAGGAAATGAATAAGACCCCAAGAGGCTTAATTCAACGAGAGGGGGCTTAATAGAGAGAGGGCATGATAGACAGGTGGTTTATTTCACACCACTGATTGCCATAATTGTCCTTTTACCAACTGTTACGTCATCGCTTTCACATGACAAAGTGCTTTTAATGATGATCTGATAAAGTAGGAAACGTTTTTACAAAGCAGGACTGAATGAGAAAGATGGGATGTAAAAAAAATTGTTGGGCGGGAGGGGTAGCGGAGTGTTTTGATTGTTGCTGAGGCAAACTTTGTGGGTTTCAAAACCTCGAGCAGTCACTAAAAGCTACCCACTTTATCGGGGTTTAATGTGGAATTTTGCCGATGAAGATCGTTGTATTATTTTTGCCGTCTCCAAAACATAGAAAACTTTCGTTCACAAAGAAATTGATTCGGCGGCCGAATGGAGTTCAAACTTTTCGACGGTCAGCATATGTAAAACGTTACGCACCGAATCTTCAATCTTTGAATTCGCATTTAATTTATTTTCTTCTTTTTGGGGTATTGTGGATGTTAACAAGTATTTCTGTCACACGGCCGATTAGCCGCGTATTCTAGCATTTGATTTAGAGCAATGTAAAATGATTTACAGTTTTGTTGACATAAGCCTGCACTTATATTTCATTTGCATCAGTTTTATGTAAGTTTACATTTAGACAAATGTTTAAATACGGTTCCTTGGCATAGTAAAAAATTATATTTTGCAAAATGGTAAATAAAACATCGTTTTATATAGCGAACAATGTGCTGTGAGGTAAATTCAGGCAAAAAGAAACATCGAAACAGTTTTACTTCTTATTAATTCGACCGGCTGAATTGAAATCAGGGTGATACTTCAATGCGCTGGATATATGTAAATATCTTTCGTTTGACCTGTGTGAAGCTCAGTATAAGACTGGAGAATGTTAAAGGTGTATTTGCTCGTGTGTGGTTTAATATAGCGATGACCAGCGATCGCCTTTCTTTCGCTTCAGTTGAGATCGACAAAAATTATTCGTTGACTCTGCCCCCGAGAAAAAGTTTGTGTCACAGGTTGTTACGTGATCAGGCGAAACCAGGGTCTTTCTTCCAACGACCAAGGGAGGCAGTGGAGAGAGAGCCTGGGAACGAGGTTGCACCTGTGTGACTTTTTTTTCATACCGTGAATTTCTATATATTTTCTTTTTAGAGCCACATTTACGTCACAATGGTTTCCCGCTAGCTACCACGTGACCCGCTTAAATATCACAAAAAGCATAAAAAATCTCAAAAGCGTCACAGAACTTCGAAGGGAACCACTACCAGAGCCACACCCACTACCACTACCAGACCCACACAACGTTCGCCTGCACGTCCTACTACTCTGCCACCGGAGCTGACGTCGCTACACTAATTTCACCAATAGGTTTTGTATATACTAACAAATATTGAGAAATTTCGCAAGACATGGTAGCATCGGGGAGAAAAAGTAAGCGAAGACAGGAGAATGCTTCTCAAGAAAAACTGACCGATCGGTAACAATGCCACTAAACTGGACTTCGCCCTTACAGTAAGAAAGTCGTCGTTTTGGATCGTTGGTAATGTTATGAAGTTATTTCATATTTCCTACTGAAGATATTTAATCACTTGAAAATGCAAAGTCTATAGAGTAACATTCAAAACGATTGCGTACCTGGAACAACTGCAGAAGACAAAAGTACTGATTCCGATGGGGTTGAAAGAATAAGGACTGATGATTCTGTCAAAGAAAAATAAAAATAATGTTGGATCAGCTGTAACACGCCAACAGATGATGATCAGCGAAGCTGAGGATGGAGACACGCTCATACATAACGATCTAAAAGGCGAACCTGTGACACTGCTGCTGAAACTGTGAGGCAAGGACTCTGACACCCTGACACGGCTGCTTGGACTTGTCGACACACTGGCACTGCTACTTGAACTGCCTGACACACTGACACTGCTGCT